TTGTAAGGTTGTAGCCCCACAGAAGCATTTATACTGGCGTAAATCAAGTAGCATTGTTCTCTGAGTTTGTTCCTCTGCTTCCTGAGATTTCCTTGATTGTGCTAAGTCCGATCACAAGGACGGGCTCAGGCCTTATAGGAGACGAGGTGGCCGTCACCGTTCTAGCTACATGGTCTGCGTTCTTGTTTCACTCAATCCCTCTGTGTCCAGCGTATTTCGGAATAGGGTTGCCACCTAAATTTTGTATTAAGAAATTTACTTAAAAGATATCAAAATCCAAATTTTTATTTCAAAAATATTTTTAAAGCTATCCAAATGCCCAGTTTTTTATATCCAAACCTTAAAAACTTTAAAAAGTATATGCACTCCGGGCAAAACTCGGCCAACCTGTTACTTGATATTAAAATATAAAACCTATTTTTAAAGTATGCACTCTAAATTGAATTGCTTCACTCAAACTCTTACTTGCCTTTCTCACAGTGTTTTTACACTTTATCTCACGGTTAAGAAGATCCGTTTTTTATTTTGTAATATTTTCTTTATTATTCATATGTGGTAATATGTGTATGTAAATAAGCTTCAAAGTTGCTTGTGCTCATTTCTTAATGTCTGCATTTAATCTGTAGAGACCTTCTAACACAATTCAACTTACAAATTAACTATGCAAGAAGAACTTTAAGGTCTAAGTCCATAATAAAGCAACAACACTATTGCCTAAGTTAGTTATTAAAATATGTATGTAGGTAGGTAATATTTCTGCAAAATTTTATCTTAAAGCTGGCCCGGTTCAGGGGGAAAAATTAAAACGCCCTCCTTTTATGTTAACTGTGATAAAATTTAATTGCTGTTACGCAGTTACACATGCAACTACATACATATGTGTACATAAAAATACATACATATGTGTTAAAAATTTCTACTCAATTATTTTCGAACTGGACCAACCAATGGTTTAACTAAAATTTAGTTAAATGACAGTTTACGTTTTTCTTGCATTACTTACTCCGGTATGTTCATACGCAAGTATGTATGTATGTATGTATAGTATACATTGTATACATGTTTTCATTCAAATTAACGCAAACCTTTCTAGCGAAGTGGAGTAACCGGCCATGTGCAAATTTCAATGTCGAACATTCGCTTTACGCACATAAAACTTAATTAATCTACAAAGTGAATAATGTAGCTGCACAAACTTAGGCGCAGACAAAAGAACCGAACAATTGTGGTATTTATATGATGTCATTTGCATTTGTGAATTATTACCATTTTTTTTGTGTTTCTTTTAAAAAAAAAATTCTATAGAAAACACTGCATGTGCTTTTGTAATTCAATATGCTGAAACAAAAACAAATTAATAAAACCCTGAAAGCTTAGCTCCGGTGACCAGTGCAACAAGCTGAGAAAGTTCGTTCGTGTGGCCAATAGCTGCCTGCGCTACTGCAATTTTATGAATGAACTCAAATGCACGACTATACAATAAGTACTCGTAGCTTTTGGCCTCGAACTCGCTCAAGCACCGCCACGCAGCTGTTAATTCAAAATTTGAGATTCCCCAGCGCTGACATAGAAACATGTGTTGATTTTCTAATTCAATTAAATATTTTTGTGTCTTTTATTTATACATAAACGAGCATGTACACATAGCAACTCACAAACATATGTATGTATGTAGGTACATATCTTTCGATGTTTTTTGGTATTATTAAGAATTCGCATATCTTGTGGCACACGCAACTGAAATTTAATTTGCTAAAATATTTATTTAATTGACAGTTAACGGTCATTTTATATTGATGTCGTACGTTGCTGTACACAGTAGCTAATAATTTAACTTATTTATGTACATTAGGGCGGGCCAACTTTTTTGACTTTGCGCGTATAGCATAGGGGGATTCTACGTGTAATTCTAAAATCAATTTGGAGTGTGCCGAATTGCCAAAATAGGTTTCGAAAAAAAAGTGTGAAAATTTTCACTGTTGCGCCCTCTGGTGGAAGTTTTAAGAAAAAGATAAAAGGATTCCCAACCCCTTATAGCATGTTTCATAAAAACTTTAAGCATTTCTTTACGACACTACAGCAAAATGCTAAGAAACCTATTTTCGCAATTTGGTAAACTTCAAATTCATTTTAGACCCATGGTTTCTTCGGCAAATTTGCATAGAATTACAAGTAAAATCCTTCTGTGCTATACGCGTATAGTTTAAAAAATCTCCCACAAAAATTTACCCACCCTAATATGCATACATATTTATGGCTGATGACCGCTACTTTAATAATAATTTGATGATGTTAGAGCGGCTGGCTGTGCCAAAAGCCCATAAATTGGGTGGCTTAATTTGCCATGCCGAAGTATTATGGCATTTTTTTTCTGTAGCGCTTTTGATTTATATGTTTTTGGGGTAAATTTTTAGGCAATTTGGCACATCAATTGACCGCAAGCTGATGTCATCCTCTTGCTTAGCGCTCAGTAACTTGAATTTTAACGGACACTTTATTATGGCAAATTATAAACATATGAAAGCATAAAACAGAAGTCAACAACATTGGAGTTGTCAATTAAATATTTGTGTCTAATAATTTTTGAAGTTGATCATCATTTTCATACTTTTTGACTCTTTGAGGATTTATTGCCAATATTTATACATAGATGCATATACTATGTGTAATTACTTAGGGTTGTGGGCACTGCGGAATTTTAAAAATCTATAATTTCATCACAGCCTTAACCGGCCATGGCACACCGATGCTGGGTCCGACTGTTCTTTCATCACTAATATTGCTTAAAAGAGATATTGCGCGTAGTGCAATCTTGGAATTCAGAGCGCACTGAACTTATACACGGATGTATCGAAGTAATGTAGAATCATGAATGTAGTGGCCTTTTGCGAGCAACTCTCCATCACATTCAAATTTAAGCTCCCAAATCACTGTCATACTGTCCAAACGGGGGAAGCCGCCACAAAAGAAGCAGCGGATTGGATGCTTACGAATGTAATACCAGTCCAGGATTTGAAAATATATATCGTTAGCTAGTGATCTTGAAAAATGTTGGGCTGTGCATGACATTCCTCTCTACCGCAACAGAATACTTTGCACTCAAACTCATATGCGGTCCAGGTCGTAGCAATAATGCAGGAAACTGTAGGGCTTATGGATTTAGCAAGACGGAACACTCTTGAGGAGTTTTCAAGAAAAGTCTAGCTTCAAAAAAGAAAATCTTATAATACATCTACCGGCCCAGGGCTTTAATTTGACATTTATTTTTTGAAATTCGAAGTAACGGTGAAAATCTGATGACCTACACAAAAAAAATGCTGTTAACTATTACTTTTCAAACTAAAGTTTTCTTAAAACTCTTACGTTTGGCATTCATATTTTAACATTTAATTTAACTTGTTCATAAGTTAAATAAATTCGACTTTTCATACAGGTGGCAACCCTCTTTTTAAATCTCTTCTGTCTGGCATTGTGATACATATTGCAATTAACTCATGAATTAAGTTAAATTTGATTTTTTAAACACGTGGCAACTCTCCTAAAAACAGTTCGGATATAATTCCTTTTCAAACCCATTTCGCTTAATACCCAACATTTAACAATTAATTTATCTTATTAAATAATTTGAATCTAACTTTTTCAACAGATGGCAACCCTCTTCAACCACCTCAAAAATTCCTATATGGTCAAACTAAAGACTTCTTAACACTCGTTTGTTTGACACCCATATTTAATTACTTCATATAACTTGTGTATAATTTAACTAAATTCGACTTTTAAAACATTTGGCAACCCTCTACCAAATATTTTTACCTACTACCTCCTTTAACCTATTTCGTCTGGCACCCATTGTGTGATAGATACGTATTTCAATTACCTTAATTCAAATTGAAATTTATTTTTTAAAAAGTGGCAACCCTCGTATATTTAAATTATAAATAAAGCCGTTTCAAAACCATCTCGACTAATACCCTTGATATCTTGGTTTAAATTTTGTTAAATTGCCCTTTTCGAAAAAATAAAACCTTACTGCAGACTACAGACCAAGCCCTTTAATTTGACATCTCTAACGAACGGTGCGGATCTAAAGGCATGGGTTATTAAATAATTTCGATCAATTTTTTTAATAGGCGATAACCCTTTTCGAAGAACTAAGTATTGCACTTCTACAACCCAAGCCCTTTAACTTGCACCTCATTTTTGAAAATCGAACGCACGCTGCAGATCTGATGACCTGGACAAAAAATCCCTTCGCATATTTTATATGTATATAGATTATATACATATATAGATGAGGCAATCGTGTGACCGGGCAGAATTTGATTGGGACAATTTCGTTATTGCGCGCCAATTCAGCTCAATAAAAATGTGTCAGATTGGTGCATTTGAGGCAATCGTATGATTCCAGCTTAAGATTTTTTTCAATCTGAAATTTCGTCCCCCGTCATCCATTTTCGTGATCTTCATGAGACTACTAATAATAATTGAAATATTCACAAACGACGAAAAAATCTACGCTTTTGACACTCTGTCAGCTCTTTCGTAATACAATGTGAAATCATAAGTTTTATAAAATCTTGGCAAATAAGCAAAAAAAAAATTCAATCTTCCCGTAGTATTTACTCAAAAAAGTCACTACGCGCTAATCGACTTGTTGAACATTTCAATTACCAGCGCACTACAAATCGGCAACGATTTATGGCCCTCATCCAATGCACACCAGAGTGCTTTGACTGACTTTTAAAGGTGACGGCTTTAAGCATTAGCATTGCATATTTGAAACATTTTTATATACATAGTTTATTTGAAGCCAACGCAACAACAACGCCACTATACTGCACTATCGGCAGTGCAAAATTATTAAACGCTTGAATGGTTCAGCGAACTCGGAAATCCAATACGATTACCTATACTTCATTACTCCACCATAGCTGGCAACACATACATACTGTACGTGTTCTTGTATAAATGTGCTAATGAATTAAGCACCTTTTTGCCAGCTCATTTGCAACTTGAGAAATGTAGGCCACATACAGTACAGCACAAAAATACAGCTAATAGGCGAAATAAAGCGCCACTACCTCTACTCTACCTTTCGCGCCTTCGCCATTTATGAATATAAAGTACGCGCATACTTTTATGAACGTACTTACAAATATATGTACATACGAAATGCATATACATACATACTTCTTTTTCTTCCTGCATAACATCACGCTTTGCTCTTTTGTCGTGATCTCGTAAATGTCATTGGGCAACTGATTAATCTTATAAAAATTTTAATAATATTTTCATTGTTGACTCTTGAGGCGGCAAAGCATCATTTCAGCTGGCGTTCATGCTCCTGTTGTTGTTGCTGCTGCTGCTGCTGATGATGATGGCGCACTTTGCATTTGCTTTTCGAAGGCTGTCTTAGAGCAGTGTGATTGCTTTGCTGATGACTGATTTTGCAACCAAATATTTACTTTTGCTGTTTAATTTTTAAGATGATAATCTCTTGAAAGTCTATATTAATTTTTTCACTTTTCTTGCTTTTATTGCAGGTGATGATAATCATGCGCTTCTTGTGGCTTCCCATAAAAAGGTGAGTACAAAAATAAACGTGGGATAAATTCAAAGAAGTTATTTATGACTATATATTTTATGGATTCAAGTATCTTGAAAGGTATATTAGTTCGCGTAAACCGGTAGTTGTAAATAATCCAAAAGATTTTTAAAGAAAAATTTGATGCAGTGTTGCTGAAAGTAAGGCCGATTGTGTTACTATTTTTTTTTTTTAAATTTAAAGTTAAGGTTTTATAAATAAATTTCCAAATATCACACATCAGCCCCATGCCAAATCACTTTTAAAAATTATTTGAGCTCACACTTTTCCCTTCGCCGAGAATTCTCGTTTTGACTGACAATTTAAGTACTTAGAATTGGTGTAATCCTTGAAAATCAATACTTTTCAACCGGTAAACTATTTCTCTTTAGTAGATTTCAAAAAATAATATCGAATTTTTTATTTAGTCATTTTTTAATAACTAGTTTTATGGGTCCCACATTGCAGTTTTTGAGGATTTTTGGGGACCCATACAAAATAATTAAAATTAAAAATGGTTTATTGAACAACTGGGTATCGTTTTTTTTTTTATACATAGAACAAACCTAGGAATGGAGCATTAAAATTTAGACTTTACTTTGTTTGGACTACCCTAATGTACATATACAATATAAAATCCATCTTAAAAACCGTATATACTCAAAGCGTGGAGGAAATAATATAACATGATGTGGCGAGGCAGAAGCAAAAAAAATACCCCGCCGTCTCATCTTCTCCAAGATAAGATGAGCCAATAAGGTTGGAATGTGTGTCATCATTCCAAGTGTTTGTGCCACGAAAAGTGACCACTCAATCCTTCAAGTTGTCTGCTGTCAGATCAACTCCATGAAAACAAATGCCTTGTAAGATCTACTGAGATTGAGGACAACGAACTCCTGACCTCTTGCCCAAATGCTACATTATCAGGTACTCCGGCGCCTGAGACTGGCATTGCCGAACTAGTTAGAGGGCTGTCCAATGTATTGAGTTTAGCTTAGCAGTCACTTAAAATTTCCTATATCTTTTCCCCCCTTTGTAGTCCATCTTCTTGCAAACATCTCAGCCTGAAATACTTAAGCATGTCCTCAAGAGAGGAGTGGAGGCTAACCTCTTTACCTTTTGAAAAATGTATGGAGGTTTTGGTTTTAATTTTAGTTTAATTTATTTAAAATATTTGTATCGATTTATTTTACAAGGCAATTCTGGTAACTGTCTTTCAACTTATCACAGAAGTCTTTCGTAAGAAAATTGGCAATTCTGGCAACTATCTTGAAAGCTCTCTACTGTCTCTCGAAAGACTAATTGAAAGATTATGAAAGATGTTCGCATTACATATGTACATGTAATATATATATATATATTTTTAAACAAAAAATCTAATATATAAGAGAAATTTTAATTAAAAAAGGAAAAATAAATAAAAGGCAAATAAAGCAAAAATAAATAAAAATATTCTTAAGAATTAAATTAAATTAAAAAATATATTTTTTAAGGCAATAAAATCTAAAAATTAATAGAAAATTTAATTACAGAAAGAAAAAAGTTAAATCAAAAAAGAAGAATATTGTACTTAAAAACTAAATGAAATTTAAAAAAATATTTTTATTTTTAAAAAGAAATTAAAAATAAAGAGAAAATTAAATTAAATATACGAAAAAAATGGGATGAAAAAGTAAAATAAGATCCTAAAAATTAATTCCCATAAACAAAAAAATTTGTTTTCTTCTTAAAACAATAAAATTTAGGACCAGAAAGAAATTTAAATATAAAAATAAAAAATATTTAATTAAAAAAAGAAAAATGGAATTATATGTTTTTCTTTTCATAACAATAAAATATTAAAAAAATAAAAAGTTTATTTAAATAAGTTTCTAAAAATTAAATGAAACTAAAAATATATATATTTTTCTTTTTACGACAATGTAATCTAACAATTAGAAGAAAATTAAATAAAAACAAGTAAGAGCAGCGCTGTCTTCGGCTATGCCGAAGGCTTCATACCTTTCATGAACATCTGCAAATTTTAGTTTGACAGATTACTGATTTTGAATACATCTGCATACACCGATAGAGGAGTTACATACTTATATAAAAAATCGCATCTAAACAATCAGAGGTATGGAAGATATACTTTATATGGCACCAATCTAAGTGATTTTCACTGTTATGTGATCGGTATGTAAACCGGTAACACAATTTATTGGGTTTAGTTTCCTACATAAAGGAGATATATCGCAAAAACTGGTATCTGAACAATCAGTGCTATGGGAGATAAAGCTTATACAGCATAGATTTTGACGATTTTCTCAGTAGACTTTGAATTATTATTTATAAAATATTTTACGAAATTTATCGGTTTTAGTTGTTCAAATAAAGGAGTTTTACAGTAAAATCCCATATCTGAACAATCAGATATATGTTGTAGTCACCCGATCCTTGTTATTTTCACTGTAAGTATTCTGTTAATAATGAGTGAAAATTGTCCGAAATTTCATGTTCCTAGCTGCATAAATGGAGGAGATATGATAAAAGACCTCATATCTGAACAATCAGTTGTATGGGGGCTGCAGGTTATAGTGACCCGATCTTCGTTATTTTCACTGTAAGTCTTCTGCTGATAATGAGTGAAAACAGCGCGTAATTTCATGGTCCTAGCTACATGAATGGATGAATTATAACGAAAAATCTCATATCTGAACAATCAGTTGTATGGGAGCTATAGGTTATAGTTATCCGATCTTTTTAATTTTCACTGTAAGTTTTCTGTTGATAATTATTGAAAACAGTGCGGAATTTCCTGTTCCCAGCTATATAAATGGAGGAGTTATAACGAAAAATTTTATATCTGAACAATCAGTTGTATGGGAGCTATAGGTTATAGTGACCCGATCTTTGTAATTTTCACTGTAAGCATTCTGTTGATAATGGGTGCAAGTGCTGCAAAATTTCATGTTCGTAGCTGCATAAATGGAGAAGTTATAACGAAAAATCTCATATCTGAACAATCAGTTGTATAGGAGCTATATGTTATAGTGGTCCGATTCTTCCGGTTCCGACAAATGATTAATACATTATTAAAATACACCCACCTACCAAATTTGATCCGGATATCTCGAAAACTGAGAGACTAGATTGCATACAAACAGACAGACAGACAGACAGACAGACAGACGGACAGACGGACATGGATAAATCAACTCAGCTCGACGTTCTGATCATATAAGTATACATTTTAATGGGTCTATCTCTTTTTGTTCTGGTACTTACAAACATCGGACCAAAGTTATAATACTATTTCATGCTCATGAAAGGTATAAAAATATACTAAAGAAAAAAATTCGCCGCCGAAGGTTTCGAGGTTTTTTCAAAATTTAGTTTTATCACTAAACAGAAAAGGTTTATGATTTACTTCAAAACTAACCGCTGACCCAACGTAAGTTTTAGATCGCCAGGAAACTCAATGTTGTAGCTTACTCTACTTCTCTTCTTCTTGATTGGCGCTATAACGAGCTAGGCTCTTTTGGCTAAGTCTACTGACTCAAGCAATTTCCGTTATAGTCCACACTGTATCCACTGTAGATCTCTTTTCATTGAAATTTCCCCGGATTTGTCTTGTTGGACAACTTGCGGATTCCACAGCTTATTAGCGCTTACCTCTTCGTCAAAGCTAATCTGTGTCGATTTTAACATATTTCATGTCTTGTACTGTTCATTATATTATATTTTCTATTGCTAGCTTATATTTATTTGTTTTTTTTTTTTATTTTTTATCAAAAATTTTCCGGCAATTAAGAGTCTGTTTTCATTATTCGTTCGCTTAAAAATGCATATTTACTCCATTACGTATTATTATTTGCAGAATAAATTAGCAAGTTTATTTTTTTTACAAAAATAATCTGTTTTATGACCCTAATAAACGTCCTTGTGTGTGTGACCTTAACAATGAAAATTTAGCGACAATTGTTGTTTGCGCTGACATCTGGCACCTAAAAGACAATACATGCCATATTTTTCCAGCATTTTTTTCCTCTTTCATTTTTTAATGAACAACTGCAACGCTTATACCGCCACACACAAAGCTTTTTATTGAATAATTGCTAATAAAATCCAGCAAATATGGACAAGTGAGTTTCAATTGAAACAAAAGTTCATTTGGCACCGTTTATTGCTTTGGTGGTCCAAAGCTGGTTGCCTCATGGGGCAGTTTTGCTTCAGTTTCTTAGTTCCTCTTTGCTTTGCTGTCGCGCGGTGGCAAGTGCGCAATAGTTCAATTACCTGTCCCATTAAGTCATACTGTGAATTGGCGTGTGTGAGTATGTGTTTAATACAGACTGAGAAAAGCTACTGGCGTTGGTGTTCCACGCGCCGCTGCGCACCCAGCAAAAAAAGTGCTTGCTGACTCTAAGTCCACAACTAATCGCTGTTAGTTTTCATATCAGCTTTTGCTTTTGTCACCACAATCAGCCACTCGTATTTCCAGGCTTGAAATTTGAGACTTTGTTGTTGTGTTGCTTGTACATTGAAACTCAACATTAATAGAACAATAAAAGGGAAATGCATTGAATAAATATTCACCGCAAAAAAGTGTTCTTGGCTTTGAAAAGGTTTACAATAGGGGTATTCACGATCCGGTGCATACTGTCTAGCATGGTGCATAGATAGTATAAATAGCATGATTGGCTAATTTTGTTGTTGCTTGAACACTTGAAACAACAACAATCATGCTTTTTATGCTATATTTATGTACCATGCTAGGCAGTATGCACCGGATCGTGTATACCCCTAATATGAAAATATTGTATGTATTAGCTTTTGCAACCAGTATATACATACATACATACATATGTATATAGTCTGCTTGCTTTAATTATTTCATTTTCAACTCTATTGTTGCTTTCAACTAAGTACACTGCGTGACAAGCATCAGCACTCAGCTGAGAGTTGTTGGCATGCAATTACAATTAGAACAACTTTTTGTTTTCGTGGCACATTTTACAATA